GGCACCCAGGAGCAGCTGTGCAGAAAGCCTGAGGATGCTGCATGCAGTGTCCAGGTGGGAGCTCCTTCCTCTGCCTGCAGGCAGCAGCAGCCACTACTTGTGTAAAGGGCACTTAAATGGCAGCCCAGGGAGGGAAGGCAGACACATGGACACAAAAATATACTTTTTTTAGGCAACACCAGCTCTGTTAGGGGATGCTCTTCTGAGTGGAATAACTAGCAGTGTTGCCCTGTTCTTCTAAGCCTTCTGATGTTTACATTTTTGTAATGAACCTTCTCATGCACTTTTCTGTAAATAATTATTGTTTTGCATTCTGTTCTGGATAAGGAGAATTTGATGGACTGTTGGTTTGCCCAGTGTCATTGGAGAGGTGGCACTGTCACCCTCCAATCCACTGTCACACTTTTGAAAATCTAGAAATGTTGGAGTCAGAAATTAAACACCCTTCTTTTTACCCTGGAGATTCCAGTGTCTGTTTTATTTTGTGTCTTACAGTGACCCTAGCAGGGACAGTCTTGGTTCAGGAAAGCTTAGGGGACTGTTCAGGATGGGGCACAGAGCCCTGAGGGTTGTCAAGAAGTCCAAGTGGGAGGCTGGAGTGCTGTCTTGTCAGCAAGCACAGGGCAGAGGCAGATGTGTTTTCTTGTAGACATGGCCAGCAGAAGTGGAGTGAGGCCAAGAGCTGTCTGTGTCCTGCCAGCAGAGTCACACTAGATGACCAAGAAGGGCTAAATGAGTTTATTTTCATTTGTTTCTGGACCCTATTTCAAATTTTTTCTAACTCAATACTCTAAATTGTTGTAATCTCTTTCTCTGTCCACCAGCAATTACTCGCAGATGCCATCTCTCTGAGGGAGCCAAATGAAGCCCCAGGGCTGGACATCAGACATGTTTCTCTTTCCAACACTTCCCTTGATAAATGAAACAGTGTAAAGGAGAAAAGGATTCAAACTCTCTTGCTTTGCATTAGCACTAAAAATTAAACTATTAGTGTAGACAGCCAAGCTAGAGCCCCTCTGTGGTAAACAATGTTATCATTTTATAAATGCAAGAAGCCAAGGTTCTCACAGCAGGTCATGGAAACAGCTGAGAACAAGGCTCTGGGTTTCCCTGATATGTTTTGAGACACAGGGTCTGTGGTTTTCTTTATTCTTTTCTTCCCACTCTAACTTCCAGGAAATATACTTAAGGAATCCCTTCAAGTTAAGGAGTGCCCAAGTCAGGGGAGCAGGTAGGAGAGATGACTCAGGCTGGGTGCTAGGCATTAGAGACTAACAGAGATCTGCAGGGTTTTAAGGTGATCTCCTGTCTGACAGAGAACACCAATGCACATGGCGAGGTGCATTCCCAAATTCATTCACATTTTTGCACGGTCCTCTTGAGGTGGTGGCTCCTGGCGCCTTGCACACACATTCCTACGCAGGAAGGCCAAATGCTCTACAGCCAGCAGCAGCACCACGCAGAAACCATCCAGAGGCTGGGGGATGGATGCCCTGAGGGAGGTGAGCTGCAGCATGCAGGTCCTGCTGAGCAGGGCTATGGCTCCAGGGTCACGCTGCTGCCGGTGACGCGGGCGCCGTACCAGCCCTGCCAGAACAGCGTGTCCTGCCCGCCGTGCTCAAAGCGCACAAAGCGCACCCCGGGCCCGTAGCTGCAGAACGTGTGAGAGATCTGGGGGACAAGTGACANAACTGAGTCTTTGTGGTGTTTTCATTTGTCCAGACAGAGTTACCAATAAAGCAATCTCCTGCACCAGCACACACACTCTGTCTGCTTGTATTTGTGTGAGAGAAGAAAGACTCCAGGATAATCCTGCTGACAATTAATTGGCTTTTGTTCAGCAAGAGTGAGCAAGATCTCATCTTAATCTGTTTCATTATTCCTCCTTGTATAGCACAGACAACACAAGATTAGGTTTAATTTTCAAACAAAATGCAAAGTCATTACTCATATCTGGCTCAGGATTTTATCTGCTTCATTTTGCAGTGCTCGGTGTGTCAATATTAACGAGAGGAGCTGCATTATGTGTGGTGAGGTAGAAATATCACTGCTTGACTTCAGGACCTTCTGCAAGGATTGCAAGGAGCAGAGCTCTGATGCCATCCCTTCTCTGCTCTCAGCTCTTCAAAAAAGAATCTTCATGCTCAGGGAAACCTGGAGATAGATAGATATAGATGTAGATGTAGATATATTATATAGATATATAGATTATATAGATATAGATATATTATATAGACATCGATATAGATATAGATATAGAGATATAGATATAGATTATATACATATAGATAAGATTATATACATATATAGATACAGATTTTATAGGTATAGATATAGATAGATTAGATAGATATAGATATAGATATAGATTTATACATAGATTTATACATAGATATAGATAAATTTATATAGATTTATAGATATGGATTGTATAGGTATAGATATAGATTTATAGATAGATATAGATGTTATAGATTATATAGATATAGATATAGATAAAATTATATAGATTTATACATATGGATTGTATAAGTATAGATATAGATTTACAGATAGATATAGATTATATAGAGATATAGAGATATAGAGATATAGATTTACAGATAGATGTAGATGTAGATAAAATTATATAGATTTATAGATATGGATTGTATAGGTATAGATATTGATTTACAGATGGATATAGATTATATAGATATATAGAGATACAGATTTACAGATAGATATAGATGTAGATGTAGATATCCCACTGCATTTCAGTGCTTCTGAGCATGGTACATCTGCAGTGTGCTCTGTGGGTGGAATGTCACTGCCAAAGCTTCCTCCCCTCCCTGTCAGTGCCCAGCCAATGTCACCCTGTTCTTCTAAGTTCTTCTAAGCCTTCTGATGTTTACATTTTTGTGATGGAGTTCTCACACACTTTTTATGTAAATACTGATTGGTTTTGCATCCTTTTCCGAAGGAGAGGAAATTTGATGGACTGTTGGTTTGACCAGTGTCACTGGAGAGGTGGCAATTGTCACCATGATATTTTATGAAAAATCCCTTCATCAGAGTTTTTTCTCCTGGGAAGCTGGGAAGCTTCAGCTTCTCCCTGTTCTGCTACTTCAGAATGTGATTTGGAAAATTGTTTATCCCAGCATGTGAATTGTTTTTACTTAATGACCAATCCCAGCCAGCTGTGTCAGACTCTGAGTCTGTCACGAGTTTTTATTATTTATTCTTTTCTAGCCTTCTGTCTGAATCCTTTCTCTATAGTTTAGTATAGTTTTAATATATCGTAACGTAATGTAATATAATATAATATAATAGACTTCTGAGAACGTGGAGTCAAAATCTCATCTCTCACCTCATCCTGGGGACCCCAACAACACAACAGGCAATTTCATCCTGCAGTCCAGGGTCTCTTTTGGAATTCTGTAGTTTTTATTTCATGTCCTATTGCAACAAGCCCCTGCTCCTGCTGCAGTGAGATGTTTCCCCGGCATCCATCAGCCCAAAGAGAGCTCTTGTGGCTTTATTGCAGCCTCTCTGGGAGCACTGATTGCACTGTGCTTAATGGCTCTGCACAGACCCAGCTGCAGATGAGTTGATCTGAGTGCCTGCAGGGGAGGTCAGCCAAGGGCATGGGTGATGGATCTGGGACTCCTGCCTGCCTGGGGAGGGCTGCAGAGCTCTGCATGCAGAGGGGATGGGAGAACCTGGGCATGGTGGGACA